TACTTATATATACTGTCCATGAAGGAAAATATGGATGCTTAACATTGCCGTATCACATTTGCAGGTTTACTATAAGAAAATGTAATTTATTTACAAATGGTGATCTCTCTATTTTGGCAGGCAATATACCAAAGAGTTGTCTAATATCAATGTACTTATAATAGGATATGTTCATGGATAGATGTCCAGTGAGCTGTCGACAAATAAACAATTTTCAAATTTGGTCCACCAATTTCAACCAGACTTTTTAAATGAATTGATTATCAATGCTGATTAAATCTCATCATGTTCCACGACTCATGTCTTTTCACATGTAGTTAGAAAAATACATCCACCTTTGACCTCAGTCTGTCTCAGTGTCCGTCTTTCCTAACAAGTCATCCCTGCTGCCCCATCAACTCTAATGAACACTGTCACATGGCCGATGTGATATTACATAACACTCGTCTCTCTATGAATATTTCAGCAATGATTATCCGCCCTGTCTCCAGCTTTTTCTCCTCATAGATCTGCAATAAACATTGACAGCATGACCCTCATTAAGTCCAAAGAGACAAAGGTCACGTATTGGCTCAGGAGGTATTGATCGAGCTTGACACGGATCAATGGTGCATAATACCAGGAATACATTTATAGATCAAGAGCAAATAAGGACAACTCCAGGAGGCAGAAAAATAAAAGCATGTGGGTGGTAGGAAATGTCTAAATGTGTAACACTGTCATTATGCAATTAGATATAATTGATGCCAATGCAAATTAGAAGGAGGGCGATAACTTCCTTACCTATGATATCATTTAAAGGGAAATGCAATATATGTATACAAATGTATATAGTATTTCTATATTCTCATATCGCTCAAATTGATAAGAAAACCGGTTCACCATCTTATAAGGCACATATTTGGACTGGTGGCCCTTCTGTAATATTGATGAATGTTGACGGTTGGGAGTACATTTGGGGTTCTTGCTGCAGTTCTCACTAATACCCCTTTCACACCAACGGTGTTTCAGGGCCGGTTCGGTGCTGGTGCTTGAAAAGCACCGGGTTTTCCTGTTCACACCGCAGCGGAGCAGCGTCATAGCTCCGGAATCCGGTTCGTTTCGAGCACCAAAAAGTTGTCCGTCTAGAAGCAAGAACCGCATACGTCACGCTTACGTCGGAGGGGGGCGAGATTAACCTGAGCTAACACTTATGCTGTGTTCACACCGGACGCGATGCGACGTTTGGGGGCGGCGCGATTACATGTAAAGTCAATGCAGAGACGTGGACAGACGCGAATTCGCTCCGACGGCGTGCATGAAGCGGTGGACGCGGCGCGAATCACACGATTGAGGCGATTGAACGGTGCCGCATTAAACGCGAGAGTTCAATTTTTTCAACTCGAGCGTCAAATTCACATGACGCGTTCTCGCGGAAGCCAATCAGCGGTGAGGATCTCAGCCGCCGTCACTGACGTTCAACCACACAACATCAGCCGTTAGCTGTTAGCAGTTAGCACACAGAGCTCACAGCTCCTCATATCCGTTCAGAAACTGGACAAAAGTTAAACAAGTACAAACCACAGACTGTCTGTGTCATGGTGAATACAGTCGCTGCTTATTTATGTCTGTAGGCCGTTGTTATGAGTGTGGAATGAGCATATACAACGTTAGCTTAGCCTGGTTGACCCGATCTTCATTCAGAAAACAAGCATTTTAAAAGGTGTTTTGCCAGCCGTCTTGTCTGCAGACTTGTCAAAGCATTAATTCATGGTTGTTACTAACCGGTATCAGTATGTTGTTACTTCGGCATCATTTAGAAACATGTATTACAATTTAATCACGGTAAAATATGTTCATTTGTTGTAGTTGTAGCTCCCGAGCCAGCGCGTCTTGTTTGAATGATGCGAGTAAACACAGCTGGCAGCCGCGGTGAACCTCCAGCGTTTAGAGCGATGCGATAGGAGCGATTAGAGCGAAGCGAATAGTCGCATCGCGTCCGGTGTGAACGCAGCATTATGCTGTGTTCACACCGGACGCGATGCGACGTTTGGGGGCGGCGCGATTACATGTAAAGTCAATGCAGAGACGTGGACAGACGCGAATTCGCTCCGACGGCGTGCATGAAGCGGTGGACGCGGCGCGAATCACACGATTGAGGCGATTGAACGGTGCCGCATTAAACGCGAGAGTTCAATTTTTTCAACTCGAGCGTCAAATTCACATGACGCGTTCTCGCGGAAGCCAATCAGCGGTGAGGATCTCAGCCGCCGTCACTGACGTTCAACCACACAACATCAGCCGTTAGCTGTTAGCAGTTAGCACACAGAGCTCACAGCTCCTCATATCCGTTCAGAAACTGGACAAAAGTTAAACAAGTACAAACCACAGACTGTCTGTGTCATGGTGAATACAGTCGCTGCTTATTTATGTCTGTAGGCCGTTGTTATGAGTGTGGAATGAGCATATACAACGTTAGCTTAGCCTGGTTGACCCGATCTTCATTCAGAAAACAAGCATTTTAAAAGGTGTTTTGCCAGCCGTCTTGTCTGCAGACTTGTCAAAGCATTAATTCATGGTTGTTACTAACCGGTATCAGTATGTTGTTACTTCGGCATCATTTAGAAACGTGTATTACAATTTAATCACGGTAAAATATGTTCATTTGTTGTAGTTGTAGCTCCCGAACGAGCCGATTCTTTTGAACGGCTCTTTGGTACGAACGAGGGGAACCGAGTCGTACTTGGTGAGAGCCGTTCTTCTTATCGTTCAATCAAAGTTGGTCCGCACTCACTGCCTGCCAAAATTCACTCGCCTTTTAAAAAGCTTGATTTTGTTCCCCAAACGTATTCTGTGAAGACCCGCCCCTACTCTGATTTGTAGGTTTCAGCACGAGGAGTTAGGTGGGGTGGGTCTTAACGGAATACGCGAGAGAGAGAAGTCATAACAAGTGGTACTGGACAGATAGACGACGTGTTTTTCGGATGTAAAATGAGCCAAACGCGAAAACGCAGCAGCATTTGGATGCACTTCAACCAAAACCCAGGCAGTGATAAAGCGCACCATTTGTAAAGGCAAAATATCCTTTAAAGCAGGGTCAACAAATAATCTCCATCGCCACTTAAAAACACACTACTAATATTAAGAGTTGCGTGAATTTCATTCAAGGCAAGGCAACTTTATTTACTTAACACATGCAGAGGGTAAATTCAAAGTACATTCACTGACATGAATGACATGGATATGGCGCCACCTTGTGTCATGTTTACAATGCAGATTATTGACATTAGGTCTGGCAATGCAGTCAATCATTATCCTGGTGATTATTTCGCAGATAAACCTAGTAACCCCGCCCCCTTTTTAAAAAAACGGCTCTTTTGAACGGCTCTTTTGAACGGCTCTTTGAAAGGAACGGAGCCATAAGATCCGGCTCCCTTCAAAGAGCCATAATTCCCATCACTATTGTGAGGTGAGCTCCGGCGTTGGGGAGAAACTCAGCGACGTAAACTGTGACGTCATGACGCAGCAGCGGCAGCACCAGTCGGGCTCTGAGCGGTGTGAAAAGAGCCGGCGCTAAACCGAAGAACCGGTTCTGAACCAGAAAAGCTCTAGCACGGAGCTTGAACCGGAGTTGCGTTGGTGTGAAAGGGGCATAAGTGACACGTCTGTCTGACACACAGTAATGATACGGTTAAGATTTGCTTAGAATACCAGCCTGTCTGCCTGCCTGCCTGCCTGCCTGCCTGCCTGCCTGCCTGTCTGTCTGTCTGTCTGTCTGTCTGTCTATCTTTCTGTCTGTCCATTTGTCTGTCCATCCGTCTGTCTGTCCGCCTGTCTGTCTGCCTGTCTGTCTGCACGTCTGTCTGTCTGCCTGCCTGTCTGTCTGTCTGTCTGCACGTCTGTCTGTCTGTCTGTCCATTTGTCTGTCTGTCTGTCTGTCCATTTGTCTGTCTGTCCGTCCGTCCGTCTGTCTGTCTGTCTGTCTGTCTGTCTGTCTGTCTGTCTGTCTGTCTGTCTGTCTGCCTGCCTGCCTGCCTGTCTGTCTGTCTGTCTGTCTGTCTATCTTTCTGTCTGTCCATTTGTCTGTCCATCCGTCTGTCTGTCCGCCTGTCTGTCTGTCTGCCTGCCTGTCTGTCTGTCTGTCTGTCTGCACGTCTGTCTGTCTGTCTGTCTGTCTGTCTGTCCATTTGTCTGTCTGTCTGTCTGTCCATTTGTCTGTCTGTCCGTCCGTCCGTCTGTCTGTCTGTCTGTCTGCATGTCTGTCTGTCTGCCTTCCTGTCTGTCTGTCTGTCTGTCTGTCTGTCTGTCTGTCTGTCTGTCTGGCTGTCCGTCCGTCCGTCTGTCTGTCTGTCTGTCTGTCCATAGTTTAGAAGTTAATTAAGTGTGGGGAAACATCAGATGCTGCTTTAAGCAAGTCATCTATTTATTTGTATATATTCAACCTCAATATCTCAATGACTGAAATACTTACAGTAAATAACTGACTTTACTTGGCAATTTCAAGGAAACAACCAGATTTACTTATGTTTACATTTCGTCAATTGTTTCCAAAATTGTGCTGAATCTTGGAAAAACATTGCACAGTCACAGTCAGTTTCTACATTTTTCTTAAAAGCTGACGATCATTCATTCTATTCTCTCTTCTCTTTCACAATGATCTACAGAAGTTACATTTTTCGAATGAATATGAAATTGAGTAAGAGGAAGTGTTGCATTAAACCTACTGGGTGGTGTAGAAAAAAACAAACAAGGATGTGTTGTCTGTTAAGTTAAAAAACACATGAAAAACTAACAAAAGTAGAACCTGATGAATAGCTCTGTAATATCTGCTCAAATCTGGCAGTTACATTTTTAAAGAGGTAGGATTTATGTTACTGCTCTGACAGTCTGCCCAGCTTGTTCTTTAAAGTCCCACATGCACCAGTCATGAGGGACTGTACGAGTGACTCACATTTGATTGCTTTCTTCAATTGATTGCACCTCTGTCCTGTTTCCCCCTCATGGCAAACAAGTTCAACACGTTGCTTTTTTGAAAACCATCAGAGGTCACACCACTTTATTTCAGCAATAACGCTGTAGCCGCACAGTCAGGCTTGTTCCTTGTTCCTGGCAGTTAAATCCTCATGTGACCTGAAGGCCACTGCTGCTTTCACAAAAGCTGATGGCGTGGAAGAAGTTGCCCTTAACCCAGATGCAGGTTCACAAGAAAGAAAACTGAAGGAGCAGTACAAAGAAACATAACACTGAGTATGACTGCAAGGTGTAAAAAAAACAAAGGTTACATGCTACCCCTGATGAGGGTTGGCAGACCGCATGATTGAATTTAATCCTGAAAATGTTTGCAGCTGCAGTGGTGACCAGAACTCCTCCGCAGACACATCCATGTGTGGAGAGATGTGTCATTGCACTGTAGGGAAGAGGTGTCCTGCTGTTCCCTCTGCACCGGGGTGCTTTTCCTGAAATAGATAGATAAATAAATAAATATAGTTGTTTTCCCCAATGGACAAGAGTTTTATTTTAATTGGTTATAAAGCAGTTTATATGTAATATACTTACTATATGAAAAATACACACTATATGCAACACAAAAAACAGATAATAGTTGTAAAATTATGAATATTAACAGCAATAATAATACACTTTATTTGTTAATACCATTGTTTATACATGAAACGCAGCAATTGAACTGTAAATTATTTAGTTTAGAACAAGGTAAAATAGACATAAAACAAACAGGATGGAATAACGAGGTTATGCGGAAAAAGATGGCACTACATTAATGATGATGATAATAATAATAATAATAATAATAATAATAATAATAATAATAATAATAATAATAATAATAATAATAATAATAATAATAATAATAATAATAATAATACAAATTCTGAATAATAATAATAACAGAAATATAACTACACAGAATAGCAAGTAGGCAGAGTTTTAGAGGACATCTGGTGAATTCTCACAGTTATAAAAAGACCAACTTTGGCAACATCCACAGCCTTTTTGCCACCTCAGCATATTCACGGCATCGTTAGCAGGAAAAAAGTTTTATTGTGAAGCTGTAAACCGCACCAGATTTCACTCCCCCGTTATGTTCTTGAACAGACTGATGTAGGCGTGAAAAAGCTTTTTTGGGACTCTGTTTCCCATTATACAGAACAGAATCTGTCTGAAATATATTTATAAAACATACAGGTCAGAGAAGTGATAATCTTAAATATAACAGATCTAAAACAACTTTGCACATGTACTGTCACATGCTGTTAATACATATATCAAGAGCTCAATAAGTGTCAAAAACAGTGAAAACAATTAATTTATATATATATCCAAAGTCAGTAGGTGGGCAGAGCAAGTTTATGTTCCAGTTGTGGGTGCATATCAAACTTTTTGAAAGGTGCTCATTATTTCTGGACAAAAACAACAGCAGACAGAGCAAAGACTTTCAGCTAAATCCTGGTTGACAGGTGACAGATATGTCTGAGAAAGACAGAAGCTTTCAATGTTCTGAGGATTGTGTCATGATGAATGAATAATTCATGGGAAATTTTGCAAGCGCCTACAGTAAATCTCATGGGGAAGATGTGCCTATAACTGTCAGCTGATGAATTCTTTAAGCATACCTACTGCCTTTCCTCAATGTGTTATTCATAAAGCGGGGCTTAGTCTGTACTTCACTTCATGTGTTGAAGATGAGAATTGTTCCAACAGCGATGCCCAATTGATTTTACATTACTTGTCTCAGACAGAAGACTATAAAACTGCTTTAAAAAAAGCTGCATCACTTGTTGCTGTGACTTGTTGCCGAGATATAAGAAATGTTCAACATTGTTATTCATCTCTCGTTGTATTCTTCCTAAATTATGTTAGCCAATATTACTTTCTTCTTTTGATCCCTTTCTCTTATTGTTTTATTTATTGTTTTTAAACCTTAGTACAGGGGAGCTCAGTTATATAAATGTGTGTCCTCTTGACCTCTCTGACACATTTCTTATTTTTCTTGATTTATTATATCATATTATTGTGTGCAGATACATTACAAAAAATGATACAGCACAAACCTGTGAACTTTTATTGTTTTAAAATGTTCCAACAAATCAATACAATTGTCTCCAAGAACAAACATAATGTTTAGCTTAAAATTGTTCAATGCCATAGCTTAAACTACATTTAAGGCCAAAAATGTACTTTATGCAAGGATAAAATGTCTCCTTGCATACACATTTTGCAAGGCTTTACACATTGTTTAATGCAGAAATGCAACCATTAAAATTGCATTATAATAGGATATGCATGGGAGCATGATGTACTAGCTTACATGGAGTGGTGGAACAAGCAAGGGGCAAATGTGTAGGGGGCATCCAGAGGTCAAGGCAAATACAGCTGTATGTGTACTTGATTTGACTTGGAAACTAAAAAACGGAAATTGATTTTTTATTCTGTGTCAGGATTTTGACTACATTTTAATGTTAACTTCTGTAGGTCTGAAATATTTATGATTTTGAAGCTCAACATGCTTTTGGTGCATTTGGCAATGTTTCCAGGCCATGGAATAGTGACACACTCGTGTTTCCCAAGAAGACTTTAAGAAGTCAGGAGGACAGTAAGTGCTACATGTGTAAGGTCACCAATAAAGGTCATATTGTGAAGTCCAGCTGGGTTGGGAACAGCTGTAGGGAGACACTCTGCTGAGAGATATGCAATTCACTGAGCAGGACACACACACACAAATACACACACATACACAAGCACTGTGTCCCGCAGTCACTGCATCCACAACCAGACACGAAAACACACGCACAGACATGCACAAATCCTTGATGATTGAAACACGAAACCAGGTTTATTTTCATATCCAGGCACGCACACAAACAGAGACAGTATGGTATACATACACACACAAACACACACACACACACACCCTCGGCTGTTTATGAGTGCAGAGCAGAGGTCAGAGGTCAGGAGCTCCAGCCACATGTGATCTCCATTATCACACTACATGACACAACTGGATCCAAAGGGGACCTGGACCTCACAGAGCTGAAATATGTCTGTGTTAAAGCTGTCAGGGATCAGGAGAAGTGTTATATAATTATTTCTACTACAGGGAAGGAACTCTAGTGTTACTTTAAAGGTGTTGCAGCATCACCATCTTGTGGAGGCTTTTAGACTGTATACTTTTATACTACTTTATACCAAATGAACAGATTTTAAATGATGTGTGAATTAACCAGTAGGCTATCTTTTACAATAATGTATTTTTTCTGATTGATGCAGATGATTGTATGGATTCATACAAAATATAAGTATTCAGATACAATACTTAAATGCTCTATTACAAGTGAAGTTCCATTAGGCCTACTCAAAAATCATAGCAAAATCACAAAAGTAACATAAAAAAAGTAGTGCTAGACGAAAGATGGCCAGTTACAGAATCACATGTATAGTTCTGAATTATTAGTGATAACGTGTTCATATAATATTTTGTATTAATCTTATTCTTCAGAGTAGGCCTATGACTAGTGCAAAATAGTAAGGAGCCACCACAGCTACCATTAAATGTAGTGAAGTAAAAAGCACGATATTCAATACAAGAGACGGTTTAGAATGTTATTATGTGGTAGTTATATAGCATTGTTGATAACATTTCCTAAATGTTTTTGGTTCTGGGGAAAGTTGGTCAGATCAACAAAAGAAAAGGTGGCAAGCAGAGTTTCTGTTCCCAGCATCAGGGATATGTGCTCGCCTGTCAGTGGTAATGTTTTATAACTGTTTTATACTAAGACTGATTTAAAAAATGGACAGGCACTTAGGAGAAAACCTTTTAACCTTTTTGTCACAGAGTTTGATAAGAAGATAGATACCACTCTTGTTGAGCTAAACTGGCTTCAACTTTAGCCCTAGCATTTGTTACATATAACTGTCAATGTGAAACCAGTCAAAACGCTTATTACTGTGAACATTCTCTGTTGAAGACTTATATGGTTAATTCTGTAAATTCCAACAGTTAAAATGTAAACATCAGAGCTATCTCAGATTGGGTTTTATTCGTATTTTCTTGACAAACTGTCAAACTGTAATGGTAGCGCAACGCTCCGTTTCTGCCACAAGATGGCGGCAGCAGCGCTCATTCATTTCACATGACGTTTTTAAAGGAGTTCCTCAACAGCTGTTTGACTGTTTGTTCAAGCCACTGCTAAGAAATTAGACGTGACATTTGAGTAGTGTATAAACCTATACTGTATATCTTTAATTAGTTTATCTATGTTTTTGCATTTATAACAGTTATTTTCTAGAAGCTGCCAGGCTGACATGTTTCAAATGGGGGGTGCTGGATGACACCAGGACCGGTTCTGACCAATTTGCTGCCCTAGGCAAGATTTTAGCTGGCAATGAAAAACCTCTACAAAAGACCAATCCACTACAAAAAGAGAAACTTATTGACATGGTGGACAGCTTATATAAAAAGGCTTATTTGTCAGCTTTACCAGTGAACAGACCTCGCTGGAAAATGACACTTGAGCCAAAACAGCCGTCTGCTGTGGCCAGCCCTGCTTTCTTTAATCAGAACCACAGCCTCCAACCCTGTCTTAAGATCAATCACATGCTGCTTTGTAAACTTGGCAGACGTCAAGAAACAAGGCGGTGCTCGTGCTCCACTTGAGGAGAGAGGGGTCATATCCCACAAAGCAGCAGCATTACCTCCTCCACCAGGGTGAAGCTCTGCCCGCCATGTACACTGCAGTTTGCGCGATCAGCAGCATGGAGGTAACCAAAAGAGAGGACCGCTCCGCCGAGCATGCTGTCTCTTTGACTGGGGCACCAGAGCTGGAGAGTCAAGGGAGAAACAATGAACGGAGAAGGAAGAGGAATTACCACTGTAAAGTTATTACTGGGGTACGTTCAAAAGAGTTAACCTACCTGCCTACTTCCATGTCTGACTTACTCTTCTCTGAATGCAAATTTGATTTACTTTCACACTGTCTTTACATTGCATCTGGATGTTTTCAAAAAGTGCTTAAAATAACATTGAAACCTTTTTTATTTCTACAATAGGGCAGTGCATCTTTGTGCTACTCATTAGACTTTATATAGACTCCAAAATAAAATGTAATCTACTGTTTCATATGGCTCAATATAGTTACTACAGTATAGGTCCCAAAAAGATGTCTATAAAATGTAATTGTGTCCCTGCCTTGGCTATGTGTTCATAGTAACTGACTGTAGTAACTTCTGGAATGATAAGCTAAAGTTCCAAACGTATTTCTGTTTCCAGCTTCTCAAATTTGAGGAATTGCTGCTTTTCTTTGGATATTAGAATGTAAACTGCATACTTTGGCTTTTGGACTTTTGGTCAGACAAAATAAGTCGTTTGAAGACCTCACTGTGGTCTTGATGGGAGGCTTTTCCATAACTCTTTGACATTTAACAGACCAAGTGATTTATCAATCAATGATAAATGTAAGGAGCGGATGAATTGATAATGAAAGTCAGTTGCAACTAAAGTGACTGTATCTGATTTAATCATAAGGTAAAGTCAATAAATCAGAGGAAATTAAAACACACAGACGTTAGGTCTATATGTTCACATTGTTTACTCTGTGTCATTAATCCACAGCTGTCAAACAGGAAAGACTTGTCAGTGCTGCCAGTACGAATGTGTAAATGTTTACACTCCAGTGCAAAAGGACAGTGGCCAGGAAAATCTCTGCAGGTGGAGATGGTATTAGTTGGCTATTGAGCAGGACCAGACGTTAAAGTCCACAGGGCTGATTGTGATCCAAAAGAGAAAATAATTCAATTAAGTTAGAAAAAAGAATGCAAGGAACTTTTACAGATAGTCTGGATGTTTAATAATTATTTGAATGGTCAACTAATCTATTGATTTATTGCTTTATCATTTAGTTTATAAAAGGCCAACACAATGAAAAATGGCTTTCCATATTTTAGAGCACAAGGCTTTAGCCTCAAACCGCTTGTTGTGCAAGCATCAGTTCAAAACCCAAAGATATTCAATTTTATATCATCCAAGATCAAGAAACTGCTATACCGATACACTGAAACTGCTGCTTTTATATTAAAATCAGCTGAAAGTCAAATCTTTATATATCTTATAACCAGGAATGGAATCTGCTTGGACATTAGTCTGACTATTTTGTTTGTCTTACCAAGAATTGTATTCTTGTCAGAGAGGAAAAGCCTCAGAAACAACAGCAGCCATTATCGTCCACAGCTCCTCCGAGACAAACCACACAAACTCTACAGAGAAACTAAATCTGGAATACATTTGGGGATTTACTTGAAGACTAAACCATAATTGAAGGAATTGCAAAGACTAACGTAACTTTATGTTTAAGATACTGCCTTTATGTAGCTTTGGTCTGGAAACAAAATGCTTTTACGCTAAAATAATAACATACTTTAATATAAAAAGGCCATATTTTAAGTTTATTGCTGTATGCTGCTTTATAATTTACCTCATCACTGAAATATAACCTGTACAGTCAATAATCATCTGACAGTAAACACACCTTTGAAACATTTTACTAGCAAAGCAACTAAACCCACAGTGTTTTTAGCTGCTGTCTGCCTGGTTTAATTAAATACACATGTGGCTGAGTCTAGACAATAATACTCCGTCCTGTCATACATCCCCCTCTGTACAGCTGTGGGTAATTGTGATATAGTTACACTGAAGTGCCATTTAAGGTCTTGTAGCAGGATGATAGCAACATCTTGATATGAGCATTTCAAATTAGTTTTCAGACTTAAAGGGACATTTTTTTAAACTTGTGTCCTAATGTGGACTTTTTGCTGTTAGATTTGTACTCCCAAAAGTATTTTCAGGTCTTTTACTGGGTAGACAAAAGTTAGGGTAGTTGTGTATTTCTGTGTCAGCCAAGTTTGTTTCCACCAGACAGACTGTTTACTTTTACAGCCCACAGAAACCACGTCTTTCCCGAAGTCTAATCCAGGTTCCTTCTCTTTCTCCCACTCCATTCACCTATAGCTGGAGAAAACAAGTGCACACCGACATGGCAGCATATTTTCATACCCGCCTAGGAATGCTTGTGTATGTGAAATATCACACGAAATGGATTACTCATGGGTGATGATTCCCACGAATCATCACCCATGAGTAATCCATTTTGTGTGATTCACATACACAAGCACTACTACAGCTTTAAGAATGATTTAAATTAAAGGGCATGAGTGCAGCATGAAAATATATTATGTAGTGTTGATTTAGAGGGTTTTACACATAGTACACATATTGGTTTTAAATGTAAACCATTGTCCTACAATTGAGCTATGTACGTTTTTTATTTAGCTTTATTTCAGTTTAAAACAGAACAGATAAAGTGTGGCTGCTTTGGAAAAAAGGGGATTTATATTCCCCACCCTTCACATTTTTAAACCCTTTTCAAGTGAAAACAGATATATTTCGACAGAGGTGATAAGATAAGGACAGAAAAGATAAATACACTTAAAAACACTTGACTTGAATGATCCCTGTGACATTGAAATACAATTAGATAAGATTAACATGTTATTACTACCGTGAGAAAAGGTTCTCTAAGAAAATAAATAATGCAATCGGTTTTTTTTGCTGAGTAAGTTCTGTGAAGCTTTGTGAAGAGTGAGATGAGAGAAGGGCAATCTCATGTGACGCAGCAACATTTATTGTTCTGAGAGTAGCCCCCAGCTGTCCGGCCCCTAGATAAATCTGAGAGGTCACTAGGAAATGTTGTTATTCTTTTATATTGACATTTACATTTTAAGATATCACAACACAAGCCAAAACATTTAATCCACTGATTTACAGTACAGGATCAAAGAGATGTTTACAACTGGCAGGATACTTCTGTTAAAAACTTGCTTTTAGACACTAATTACACAACACTCACTACAGGTGTGTCGGGGGTGTTGCAGGGGCTTCAAAATAAGCAGCGTTGATAAGACTGGTGTATACCAACCGTCTAAATCTACTATCTTAATAAACCGTTTTACACTACTTTGAAACGCCCCTCTTATCACAAACGCCTCTCCCTCAGTGGGTATCCAATCTGGGCAGATATGAGCCGAGCAGCTGATACAAAAGCAGCTTTGCCTACAACCTCCTTTTGAGTTTTCAATTACAGACGGCCAAGACCAACATTTGGACAGTTGGAGATGGTGTATGAGGGAGGGCGGAGATGATAGAGTTACACTGGGCAGGGTTAAATAAATAAATAACAGCCCACCTTCCCTCAGCACTGCAAGACCTTTATCCCATTTTGTATAAAGATTGAAGAACCTCAAAGAAAAACGAATACAGCTATAAATTAATCAAAGACTGGACAAATAAACTAAAGATAAGACTAAAAGTTTACAGCTTCAGTGGTGCTTTGAGCTAAATGCTAACGTCAGCCCCAGTGGCGGCCGGTGGTCTTTTTTTTTGGTGGGGCTCTTGACGTACCGTAAGTGACCTACCCGGGGGGTCCGGGGGGTTTCCCCCCCGTCATTTTTTTTCGAGAAATGACCCCTTAAATGATGACTTCTGGTGATGTTAGAGGGGGGGGGGAAAGGAGAAATCGAGGCTTAAAAATATGAGAAGACTGATCAATACCTCCATAATCTTCAGTGTGGAAAATATTATTTATCAACCTGAACATCTACTACTTTACCAGGAATTTGTGTTCTCAGAACTGGTCTGTTTTTTTCTTTCTTAAAACTGTTCATGTTTTATGAACCAACACCTTCACCAAGTAGCTTTACAGTGAACTGCATGTGAGATATAAAATTAATAGCATCTTTTCAGTAGCATTAATTATAAATATTTAAGTGGTTCAATACAAGTCACTACAGCATTTCAAACTGAACTGTGAATAAATGCAATTTAAAAAAAAATAACCACAGCACAAAATGTCATAAATTGTGTTTTTTCTTTGTTTCTCTGAGGATTATTTACAAACAGGCTTATTTACATATAGCAATAACTCAGAAATGAAAAAGCTACATCGTCTAACACGAACAACCACTTAGCATAATGATAATATATGTGTTATGTACAATGTAACTGGCAAGGCTAGAGCAAGAAAGAACATAACGTTTGCAAAAGGTTTAAATAACTTCAAGTATCTGTCTTCAGATTACGTGGAGGTTTTAGTCCGATGGGAAGCAGATTTTAAGCGACACCGAAGATAAACCAAAAATGTGGTGGAGCTGCAAACCGTGTAGTGTTGCTGGGACAGAACAGGAGCTATAACCGTTGGAAAATACATCACAGACAATGCAACAAACGTGGAGACAGAACAATCACTTCTGTGATAAATGCCCACTTATTAATAAACTTCTAACAACCATGGGAAACCTCCTCTCTACATATAAAGTGATATCCAAGCATGGGAAACAAAAGACAGCATTTACCTGTTTGCATCCAGCTAGCCAAGCCTTTCTTGTGTACCAGCTACTTGCGAAGCCTCGTGTATACGTTTTGTCTTTTTCACGAGATTGCTGCGATATATTCAAATCGGGTTGGTCCGGTCCAAGGTCTTTAAGCAACAATTTATCTGCCAAACTTCTCCTTTCGAAAGGATTGGAGATTAGCTCTTGAACAGAATTAGGCGGGGACCGAGGTCCGGAGACTCCACCTGCACCCGAAGCCATCCTCATCAACTACTGCGTCAACCGGATACGAGTCACTGTCCAAACTACTCACAGACTGCACTGGGCGCTGACATTGGCACCCGGTGACCGTCATCTTTGACGACGCTGATTGGCTGAAATTATATTTTCGCGGCATAGTTTACATGTTACAGATAGCAACAGTCAGCTGCTAGTGGCTGCTGCTGCACTGGTTGAAGGCTCCTCTCTTAGCGCCCAGACGAGAGAAGGTGCATGGGCAAGGCCAGGCAGGAAACATGTGACTTATCAGTAACTTTAAACATCGTAACACAATTTTAAACGAGATTTTATTGTAGATTATACATTTTACTGATACCAATTATATAATATTTACCTTGTTCATTAAAAATAAAAATAAAAATATATATTTTTTTTTAACCATATTTTCTTTTTTTAATTTAAATTAAAAAAATTTTTATTTATTTTTTTTTTCAATATGGGAAGAGGTGGGGCGGCGCCCCTAGCGCCCCTATGGACCGGCCGCCACTGGTCAGCATGCTAAGTTGCTCATAATGCCAATGCTAACATGGGGATGCTTAGCAATACAATGATTGGAATCACATTAGCTTTTTGGTATTTTGTTAAAAAGAAAATGAAATATGACTTGATGATGGATCTCGAGGACAAAAACATTTTTCGAATAAAGATCAAAATCTAGCACAAAAAAACAATAATATCTCGCATAAATCCCATGGCAATCTGTCCAATAGTTGTTTACACATTTAGCGTAAAGACCAAATTGTCTGGCTCATTGTGTCACGAGAGGAGGGTCAGCAGGAGTCATCCTATGGAGAAAATGAGTGTCAGTACACACATTTCATAGCAGCCTGTGCAACATTTGTTGAGATATTTCAGTCAGGACCACAGTGGTGGACCCAACAAGCAACATTTCCATTTCTAGAGCCAACACTGCTAGCGTGGATAACAAATCACTCTCTGTTTTTGTTTATGATTCTTCACAACGTCCTGATTTATGGCTTCCCTCACGGGGCCAGAAGATGGTTAAAGTGTGTTTATAGTATGGTCACAAGGCATGTAGCTGACACTAGAGCGTGTCTACGATTCCAGAAGCTTTTAACCAGGGCAATTCTAGCCACAGTATTATTCAAAATAATGTGTTGTTTTCACCTGCATTGAGTTTTGTTTAGCCAACAGCCATCAGGTGAAATGGTGGTCAGTCATCGCTGTAAAAATAGCAAATTATTTGAAGAACATTGTTGATCATTATTCAATACAGAGTGTTTGAATTTGTGCTGTTTTACCTCTTTTACCTTCCACTCACCAAAACCAAGAGGAGGTCAATCTAAACATCCTCGGTCATGTTTGTTGTCATGTGATTTATGACCTGTAATCTTCAGTAAGGTCAACAAACATCCTGACATTTGTTCTCTGTATTTAAGGTTCTGCTGCTGTGCTTACTGGTGGTCATCCTGGCCGTGGCGTTGTCTCTGAGGAAGAGCAGTGATGCCAAAGGTAGGCGATGATGACCGTTTCTCCGTCTAGATTTAAATGCTATGGCCTGTTGTTGAATGCGGTTTCAGCAAAAGCTAAGTTGAGGAACTGCAAGCCATCGAGGTTTCAATAAACATGGAATGGTTAAGCAAATGTGCTTACAAGAAACAATTCACCTTTTTTTGGATCTCAAGGACACACAAAAACATGTTTGGTTGGAAATACTCATCATAAAGAGAGCTATTCTTTACTACAAGAAAAAAACATTGCACCTTCTACATTTTAAAGGAAATTATCACATTAACACACTATGTTTTGAAGTCAAATTCTCTAAATGAATGTCCCCTGTATCATTTTGAAGGCATTGTGTAACTTACATTTAGTTGTGTTTAATCCCCAGTTGTTTTGGATACTATTGTGGAGCTCTGTGTTTTTAAAAGTCTGTTGTTGTGGTTGTATTTGCCGCAGACAGAGAAGGAATTTCCGGAAGGGATGATAAACAAAGCAAAATAAAACTGGATCTGATCAGGGGGACACTAAAATACACTTTTCCATTGGGATAATCTTTTTTTTTCAAGACAAAAGCAAATGACATCAACATAATAGGAAACAGTCTCTAAAAGCTACAAATATGGTTTTTGATTTGAAAAATATGTGCACTTTTTCGAGGAAATGGGAAACACACAGTTGAACCAATGCCAATGTATGCCTTTTTTTAAATGCTATACTCGATTTCAGACCAAAATGTCAGATCTGCTATACTTTCACTCTCATGTAAATATCCCTGATGTCATATTGTATTTTCTGAATGAGCTTACTGTGAACTATGGGCTGTACAACGCAGAGACGGGATGAACATACCTTGGCTGCAAACAGACAGAAATAACCATCTCAAGCTATATTTTGAAACACTGTTGGCTCCTCAGAAACTCTAACCTGAGGCTCAGGTTACACACCAGCCAGACACAAACAGGGAAGTGAAAGTTACCTCCTGAGACTGCATGATTTGTTCACAGGATATGTGTCTGTCAGGGTGGTGCGATCCAACCTTTTTGCCTTCTGTTGCAAAAAAACACATTTAAGTGAGACAGGAATGTGCACTGGAGGTTGGCATGTTTTCTGACGCTGTAGATTCCCTCTGGTTAGACGTGGGCAGAGGCGTCAGTATGCTTTTTGTTGCAAACCGCTGTGCCAAAACACTCCTCTTCCATTTCAGGGCAGCCGTGGTGACTGTGGGTCCCCAGCCCTGGGCGGGGTGCTCTCTCTGCTGTGGCATTTTCTTTTAACTTGTATTTCCCACCCAGTTTACATGAAAGCCATATGGGAAGAATAAATCTTTGCACTCACTTTATTTTATTTTTACATACAGCTTTGTTGGATCCTTTACATCTTCCGTAACGCTGCTTGGTAAGGCCTTTGGAAACAGATTCAAAGAAATAAAAATAACCCAGGTCTCCACTTCTTCTCAGAATTTAACGGGATGTAGTATGAAGTGCTGAGAGCCGGGTTTTCCCGTAGATTACAGACCGCAGAAACTTGTCTTCTGAGACAGAGCATCACGGTCCAAACCACAGCGCTGGCCTCGAGACTCTGTGAGGGGGGGGGGGCTTTCTCACCGACATACTAAGACTCCTCTGTCATGTCAACAGCAGCACACTTGACAGATTGTTTCGGGAGGACAGATGCCTGAAAGGTGAACGAGTTGGCCAAAAGGTTCCTGCTTAGAGTCTCCTTGTCCGTGGGAATGCCCTTCAGCAAGTTAAATTGTTTCCAAATGCTCTGGAGTAAACAAAAGAGGATACGTTGGATTTGTCCTAGGTTTGTTTTTCAAGGGCTTGACAAACTCTTGAGATTAACGTTACTTAAATTACATTGTATTGCAAAACCAAAATGAGACACACTTCTTCCGGCCTTGTATGTATGGGACTCTTAGGCTCAGCACTTTCCTCTGTAGTCATCACATATTTTTTGTAGACTTATCTGTACATTTTGTGGTTGCATGAGTTCCCTTAAATGTTGTAAGATTGTCTATGGCTGAAATATCTATCGTTACATGAGCATGTATGACCTCAAATGTTATACATTTGTTTTGGTCATTAATTGAATGATCACATATTTTTCAGAAAAAGAAAAGTTTTTCCTCTCTGTTTTGTTTCCATGAGAACAAAGTCCAGATGTTTTCTATCGTACATTATGAGAACATATCCTGTACAGCACAACATCTGATAAAAAAATGTGTTGATGGAGCATTTGCTTTGTTCACGGAGTCTGTGCTGTTCTCCATTTGTGCTTTTACACAACATATTCATGTGGTTCACAAAGTGGTGCTCTCCGCTAGCTCCCAAAAACTTTGGGAAGACTGAAAGAAGAACAAAGGGCATTAAGTTTCTTTCCATCTTCAGTCATGTCATGCAGATGTGAATGATAATGCAGCATTTCTGCACTTTCACTTCCTCTGGTTATGCTCACATGGCTTCTTAGGCAAGGCAAGGCAAGGCAAGTTTATTTATATAGCACCTTTCAACACAAGGTAATTCAAAGTGCTTTACAAAAATGGAAGACATTTTAAAAATGGCATTTAAAATCAGTCATTAAAAAGGAAAGATAATAAAATAAACATTAAAAGAAAAAATACATGGATAAAAGTTAAAAGTTACAGTGCAGTTTAAGATGTGAATAGTTCAATTAAAAGCAGCGGCAAAAAGAAAAGTCTTCAGCCTGGATTTAAAAGTAGTAAGAGTTGCAGCGGACCTGCAGGTTTCTGGGAGTTTGTTCCAGATATTCGGAGCATAATAACTGAACGCTGCTTTACCATGTTTAGTTCTGACTCTGGGGACAGAAAGCTGACCAGTCCCTGAAGACCTGAGGGTTCTGGATGGTTCATAATTTAGCAGTAGGTCAGACATGTATTTTGGGCCTAAACCATTCAAAGCTTTATAAACCAGCAACAATATTTTGAAATCTATTCTTTGACACACAGGAAGCCAGTGTAAAGACTTCAGAACAGGAGTGATGTGATCCACTTTCTTAGTGTTAGTGAGGACTCGTGCAGCGGCGTTCTGAATTAGCTGCAGCTTTCTAATAGATTTTTTAGTGAGGCCTGTAAAGACACCATTGCAGTAGTCCAGTCTACTGAATCCAATTCAATTTCACATTAAAGGTCCTAAAATGATTTTTCTCAATTATCTTCTCATAACAGGATGCTTCACGTAGACAACATCTCCTGCCAAAGTTGGTAAAAAAAACACATATACGATAACAACGGCTATTTAACTAAGAAAATAGACGTAAGCCTCACACATCATAAGCATCCGTAGAAAAATAACATTGTTCATGAAGAGATTGTTTTCCTTTGCAAGGGATTGTTATATAATATTGCCATATTCAGTCAAGAATATTAAATGGTACAACTATATATTTAAGAAGTCAAACTAGTTTCCAGGTGCTTACAAAATGGGTGTCTTTGCGCAACTATCATTCAGTAGTTATTTATACGTATTATTGGTGTCTGGTGATTATTGGAATAAGTGTTTTCTTAGGACATAATATACTGTATGCATTTTGAAACATGCTTTATTTTGCTGACATCATTCCTCTTTTACAGCTGAAGGTGAGCTCTGGCTGTTCACCCCCCTGGAAGGAGACATCCAAGAGCCAAAGTGTCCCCCTGGGTAACGATACACTCTTGTTCTGTTGCTGTAATGAGAGAGCTGATGTGAATTCAATAGAAAACAAAACCTCACATCTCAGATGACCTAGTTTGAGTAACAGTGGCTCCTCCTCTCCTCTCTACGAGAAGGAAGTTTCTCAGCTGTAACTCCTACAGTTTTCCTGAAGGGAGTTTATTGTTCCCACTTGGCAGTTCTGTAGTGGAAAATGAACTGTGGCCACAGAAAGATAGAAAGACTTTTCAGTCACTGTCAGTTACAGTTTTTTTATGTGTTAATAACCCAAACACATAATTCTTGGTTTTTATGATTGTGTTGAATTTGCGGAAAAAAGTATCGGTCTCTATAGGAACGAATGTCTTTGAGTAATCAGGCGTGTGTTGATGAGTGGTGTTAGTGTGCGTGCATGAGTGTGTGTGGTCACATGTGTGTGTGTTTCTGCTTTGGAAAGGGAGTAACCCCCAGACAGAGCATGGAAAATTAAAAACCTGTGTCTCCGAATGAAGCTATTTTTGCTTTGGAAATAGCTTTAAACAAATGAATATTGTCTGTATTTTTAAAATGAAAGTCCCTTATTCTCTTGGGTTTGTTTGTTTCTGTTGGCAAACCACGCTTTCATTTTAATGTGTGGTTTAGACTTTACACGAAAAGAGGAAGCGCTTCTGGAAAGAGCTGATTGCATGGCAACGATTTTAAGTGGTCATGGTAAATGTTAAAGAAAATGGAAAACTTAAAACAATTAAATTATCATTTTATTACTACATTTTCAATTTTCAATTTAAATTCAATTTTTTAAGTGTTTAATAATCTATATTTTTAAATTACGTATTTTTTCCATGTCATTTTTTGTGTTGTTCTTTTCTTCACTTTCTCCAATTTATTTGCTTTATTTTTATTACAATATTTATTCATATATGCCATTAATTATTCCTTGTTTTTGAGAGAAACTCCCTCTGGAGGGATTACTGTATAGCCATTGCAGACCATTTACATGCACACAAACCTATAACTCACTACAGGAAAGGGAAAACCAAAACAGCGTAGTAAGGCCCCTTTAATATCTGTAACCTAAACACAAGTAATGACGGAATAACCTGTAACTTATTCCAATAATAAAATAAATGCTGTTCTTCCAGCACAAAGGAACAAAGGATACAGACCAACAGAAGTCGTTTAGTCTTTGATTTATCAACTCTTGAGTCACCTTTCTCTTCCTGTTCTGCTATTCGCTCTGTGATTTCTCTCTTTTCTCTCCTCTTGCTCAGTCAAAGAGCTTCATTGTACTCCTTCCACACAGACCTACTGTACAGCATTACTGCTGCCAAAGGATACACTTGTCTCCTGCTGAGTAATTATTCCATTTCCCCTTCACAAACCCATTTAGCATCTTACTTCCTCTCTGTCTTCCCACGCAGCTTCTCCCGGCCTCCTCTCATCCTGGTGTCCTTGGACGGTTTCAGGGCAGAGTACCTGAAAGACCACGGCAGCCACCTTCCTGTCATCAACAAGTTACGTAAGTCACCATCATGTTGACTGCACAGCGCTTCATGGTTCACTCTGCATTGTGTGACTGGATCCTTCTGTTGCAGGAAACAGCGGGACAACACCTCCCTACATGAGGCCTGTTTATCCCACAAAGACCTTCCCCAACCACTACAGCATTGTGACTGTGAGTCCCTCCTGGTCCACAGGCTGATTTATTGGATAGATTGTTTTTTCAGTGGTCGTAGAAGAATTCATAAAAGTAATGTATTCAAACAAGTGGTGAAAGAAGTAAAAAAAGCAATAATACTACAGTGAGGAAATACGCATGTCCTACATGTCATACTCGGGTAAAAGCAAAATACTCAAGTTAATTACAAGTGCCCTAAAATTGTACTTAAATAGGATACCAAAGTACATTTATGTAGATTTATCCCATCTCTGTCCAAAACGGAAGCATGTTTAATTGTACTCAAAGCTAAGTATCAGAGATATCCTTTTTTAATGTATATGATTATATATTACATTATTAGATTGATATTTTGTATTTCTAATATCCAAAAGTCTTTGTACGGTGCAGCTCATTCAAAAACGTTATGAGTTTTATATCCTTGAATCTTGAACAATTATTCAAACGAAACCATCTGAGAAGTTTGGAGACGTTTGGTAGTTAAACTAACAACTCATAGATAAGAGATCCAGAGTGAACACTGTTTATTTGTAAAGGGTCAAACTGTTTGGCAACCAATAGTAAAAATAAATATGAACCAAAGAAATTACTAGTAACAAGTTTCCCTTTGAGAAATGCATCAAAGCAAATCTCCTAACTTACTTTCTATCACTGCTGTTGGTGTTCCAAAGTTTAACAAAAATGTGGGTATTTCCCTGCAATTTGAGAGCCAGTGTCTCTTCACAGAAGTATAGAGTTACCATGGAGGAGGCTTAATGTCTTACATGTGCTTGTTGTGAGGAGAGGGGCTGAAGAGGTGAAGGCCACTCTGGCCTTCACCTCTTTTATTTACAGACCCTGTAATTAAAATAAACTGCTTTGGTGAAAAATAATATTTAAGTTAGTTAATGAAAACCCCTTCAGCCACATCATCCAAACAGCTCACCCTGACTGTATGTTTTACCTGCAGGGTCTTTATCCCGAGTCCCATGGGATAGTGGACAACAAGATGTACGATATGAAACTAGATGCTTTCTTCAGCTTGAAAACTGACGAGAAACTCAACCCAAAATGGTACCAAGGAGAGCCAGTAAGTGAATCTCAGCAACCATGATATGTTGTACAAAGGTGTAAATTCATTTTTCAGTAAAGACTAGTTTGGAAAAGACAAAAACTGGGATCTAAAAACAACCATGTGAGGAGATTTAGTTTTCCTTGAGTGCAGGACAGCTCTGAGCTTTTGTAATTTCCTTCTCACATTGTCTGAGTCAGACACTACTGTTCTGTAACATGTGAAAGTGAACACACCCTGACTTTTGGGAAAACCAGAAACAGATCTAGCATCAGCACTTGTCTTTTGAGAAGTATGAATCATTGTGTTCAGAACAGCCTGTCATTTGCTCAGAATCAGCTTCCCCTGTAATGAGCTCCTTGATATAATTACGGATTCTCCTCGTACGAGATGACATCTCATTTAAGGATGTGAGTTGAGCTTGTTTGTGGTTCCTGTTGAAAACGCAGGTCTCTTAAATCTCATTCCTTAACAGTGTGACAGGCTGCTCCTCGTGAAAATTCACCATGCAGCAGCCGTATCACTTTCCTGGAGCGAAGGGGAAATAAATTAACGATGACTCCTGGAATAAATCATATTGTAATGAGCCAATCTCATTTTAGAGCATCGGCCAAAACATGCTTACAAGCCTGCTGCATAACTATAACAGAATTTCTAGCTGCACATCAGTGTAATAGGTATTGATTGAACATGAAGAACATGCAGTTAGATGTCCATCAGTCGTCTGGGCTGTGAGGGATTACACTTTCACCCTAATGGACTAAACCCTGCTGCTGTGATATACTGATATTAATGAATGACGTATGAGTCTAATACAGTTTAGTGTGTCAAAATGAATCTAGATGACACTCTCATTTTGTCTCCTTCTCTCACCTTTCACCTCCTTTCCTCTCCTTCTGTTTCCTCTTCTCCCCCCTCTCCTTTTCTCTCTCTCTCACGTCTCCTCTCCCCTAATTTCATTATTTTCTTTCCTTTCATCCCATCTCCTCTTTTTCCTCTCCTCTACTTACCCTCTCATCTTTTTCCATGCCCTGATCTCCTCTTCTTTCAACTCCTCCACCTTTGATCTTTTCCTTATCTCATGTGTTTTTGTATCTACTTTCTTCTCATCTAATCCCATTTTTTCATTCTTCTTTTTATGTACTTTTTTCTTCGTTTTTATCTTCTATTCTTCTTGTGTCTCCATTCCATTCCTTACCTCTTCTCACCTTTCCTATTTCCTCTCCTCGCCTCCCAAAAACTCTCCTTGCCTTCTCCTCCTCTCCTTGCCTCCCCTCTCATCCTCTCCTTGCCTCCCCTCTCCTCCTCTCCTTGCCTCCCTCTCCTCCTCTCCTTGCCTCCCTTCTCCTCCTCTCCTTGCCTCCCCTCTCCTCCTCTCCTTGCCTCCCTTCTCCTCCTCTCCTTGCCTCCCCTCTCCTCCTCTCCTTGCCTCCCTTCTCCTCCTCTCAGGTCTGGATCACTGCCATGCGTCAGAAGTTAAAAGCAGGAACCTTCTTCTGGCCTGGCTCAGATGTACAAATAAATGGCACCTACCCAAACTTGTACAAGTCCTATGATAAGTAAGAGTTACATTATATTCTTTTGAATTAATGACAAGAACATTAATGGTATATTATGGGGCTGTATTAATGACTCTTTTTTTCTTCACAGGAGCATTACATTCGAGCAGAGAGTGTCAACACTGTTTGAATGGCTCAGTTTACCTGAAGGGGACAGGTATTACATGCTCTTTTATATCATTCAAAATATGTTGTGAGTGAACACAGAACATCACACTGACCTGTTGGCTTACTGATTTCAGACCTGACTTCTACACTTTGTATCTGGAGGAGCCTGACTCGGCTGGACATCGATACGGACCAGGGAGCAGCGAGGTTAGTCTGTCACTAAAAATAAACCTTAAAATATAAGCTGGTTGCTGATTACCTAAAAAAAAGAACAGACCAGTGCAAATAATGAGGAACTTTGTTCTCGATCCTTGGCGGATCCTGGGTCATGTGATGGTCTCGTTGTACATGTGAGGGAAGGGTGGTGGAAAAACTCCACCCACTGAAGAATACCATGAGATTGGTTGAAAGCTCTGAAAAAAAAAAAGTGCTTGTTAATATATATAGGGATAGTGGTGGTCGAATGGATAGTGAGGTGGGCTGAAGATCGCAAGGTTGTGAGTTCAAATCCCGCCAGGAACACCACCACTAGTGTGCCCTTGAGTAAGGCACTTAGTCCTTAGTTACTCCAGGGAGAATGTCCCTGTGTAATTGGTAATTGTAAGTCGCTTTGGATAAAAGCGTCAGCTAAATGAAATGTAATGTAATGTAATATACATTTTTCAAAGTGTTTTGGAGCTGTTTGACTAGGGGTGCAATACATGATTGATGAGTCTAAAAAGAGTCAGAAAAATGTTAAAATGGCTTGTTATATAATTTATTCCGAAAAGCAAAAGTATTTTAGACTTTGCAATTTAGAAAATGTTCTGGCATTTCTGCTTGAAACATTTGTTACATTTATTATCAGAATGATTGCTAATTAATGTTCTTCTTTTGAAATGAATAGATTAAGCTATTAAATAGTTCCACGTGCATATAACGTATAGTATCTAACAATTAAAACTAAAACTAAGTGTAACCTATTGTGTAATCTGTAAAAAAATCATATGAATAATGTGTAAAATATTGGGTTAAAAATGATGATTATTATCTAAAATGTAACCTTGTCAGTAAAAATGTTTCCATTACAGATGTTTAACTAAACTCCATTTAATAAAGCCCATGCTATGACCCATGCTGACAGCTTCATTTTATCCATTATATTTGTTAATCATTTCTTTGCTGAATCAAGTTGTCCTTGAAGTGTTCACACTCACAGTTTTCCTGAACGTTGTTTTGTGTTACGGTGACACGTTAACAAAAGCTTTTTGTTTTTCCCTTCAGGTTGTTCAGGCCTTGAAAAATGTGGACAGGATTGTGGGGCTGATGATGGACGGCCTGACACAGAAAAACCTGCACCACTGTGCCAACATTATAATCGTATCAGACCACGGTGAGATAACTACACAGCCTGCGGTACAGCGCTGTGTCATTTACACGACAGTTAAACTGTACAATGTGATTGTGAATTTAACGCCTTTTTTAAAATCTTTTATTCAAAGCTGTGCATGTGCTTACAGATAAACTTGGTGCATCCCTCCTTAATCTGCGCCGTTTAACTGTCCCATCGTTTTAGAGCCTGTGTGCCACTGAGCTGGGCTTTAGAGGCTTAATGACATCTGTTAATGTTTGACTTGATCAAGTCACTATACAGTATCTGTTAAAGGAGAAAATCCAGCTCCATGTTTGGAAGAAATCTAAAGAAAAATGAGTCTGTAATCTGGGAGAAAACTGGGAAAAACTCTCAGCAGTATGTTGTATGGCGAGAATGTTCCTTTGCATCTGGAAACCATCTGTTACAGTCTTGTAATTAGGTATATTAGAGATCAATGTATGGGAGTCACTGTGGCTGCCCAGCTATCCTCATCAAAGACACCATTTCAAAGAGAAGACCTTCATGTTAGCGAGCTGAGCTAGTGATTCTTCTGCAGGGATCCGTCAAGGACCAGAGAAAAAAAAGATTGATTGTTGTTCATATGTCACACAAACATAAATCTTCAAATGTGTTCGGAATTTAAAGGGCTGTTAAACCGTGGAAATGACCAAGAAAGTGCATTTTAAACCAGATCAACCTTTGTGCCCATACAGGAGAAGAACATTTCAATGTTTTTACAAAAGAATCATACAGGGGTGGATTTTTTTTCTAACAGTGCACAAACCTGGCAACTTCCATGCAATCATACAGTAGCTACATTTGTCAATAATTCAAACACCCATCTTTATATTTTATAAACAAACACTGAAGACAGATTGATATTTCCCTTTGTTTCAGGAATGGAGGAGGCTTCGTGTGATAAGGCATTCTATGTGTCAAACTACCAAGACAATACAGAGGACTTTTCTGTCATCCAAGGCCCTGCTGCTCGCATCAGACCCACCCGCCTGCCAGAGGATTACCTTATCTGTGAGTTCCTGCTGAAAACACCCAAACCTCCCCTTGTTCCCAGCCTTGCCGTATCACTCAGTGTCCGTTTGTACGTAATGTCGCTGACCTTGTCCTCTGTTTCTCTCCTCAGTCGACTATGAGGGCGTGATGAAGAACTTGTCGGTATGCCAAGTATTCCAAATGTGACTTTTGTGTTGATATGAAGAATGAAAGATTATCTGCTTGCTTGGTTTCACGTCAAACAAAGCCATTCTCCCTGCGCTGCGTGTTGATTCTCCTCTGCTGTGTCTGTTCTGAAGTGCAGGACCGATGACCAGCCAATGAGGCCCTTCCTCAAAGAAAACCTCCCCAAGAGGATGCACTTTGCCAAAAACGATCGCATCGAGAGAGGACACCTCTACATGGAGCAGGGGTGGCAGGCTGCGCTGTAAGTCTCCGATCAGGCCACTGTCTTTATGTTCTCACTGATTGAGGTCATTAAACTGTGTTGAGAATGGAGGTCAGAAGCTTGATAAAGGACCACTTATTGAGAGCAGTTGTGTTAGGGAGAAAACATAAAAAAGTGTTGCACAAGTTGTATCAACAAGTTTGAAATGAAACAGCCACACCAATCTCTACAAACAACAATTGTGTATTTTCGCCTACTCACAGCCTGGAAAGCATGTTTTAGCCATGAGCAATCTCTATAGAGAGGAAGAAGGTTAGTTGTGGTTAACATTCTTTCTCTAAATTATCCATTTAGTCTTAGATTGTTTTGTTAGATGCAGACAGTTTGCCTTCTTTCACTTTTAAACCATCGATAAAAGTCAAACTGCTAACTTTGGCATAAAATAACTGATCCAGCTTATAAAAAACTATTACTTTACAAATTACTGCATGGAAAATTAGCCACTTTTGGCATTTTTCGCTGATCAAACTGTGGCAAAAGGCAATTATTTGAATTAAAGTGAACTAAATGATTTGAAATAAGTGTTTATTTTGTGTTCCATGATTTGAATTGATTGGAAAATTGGAAGTGCAGGAGCGTTATAAACCCATTTGCATTGCACATTTAATCTCGAAATGTATGGACAAAGTTAGAAAACAAATTATAAGAATAATTAAGATGTAGTTTCTACGCAGCGGAATATACTAGAGATCTTACAGTGATTGGTGTTGGCCAGTCTTACTGTGTGTAAATTATAGTTCAGTCAAACCAAAGTGAATGTCTGGTGATAAATACAAATGTTTATTTTGGCCACACAGAAGTTAAAGCACTTAAAGTAATCTGTGTTAGCAGCCATTTAATGAATAAGGCTTGGTATGCTGGAGAGAAGCTGTACAACTTCTTTGAAGGAAAGCAACCATGTAATCACAGAAAATTGTTTCAGGCTGAAGAATGTAAGCTTTAATGTAGTTGCAGTGTGCAGTAAATCCCTCTTAAGGGAATATAGACGAACTGTAAACTTGCCTGACCCTGGATTTGAGATTGAAAGTCAGATGAAAACTTGTTTTTTTTGCATGACTTCCATCCTTAATTCCCATCATTGTGGTTATTTTTACTCTGTCTTGACAGTAATCGCAAGGAGCTGAAGTATTGCACTGGTGGATTCCACGGCTCAGACAACATCTTCACCAACATGCAGGTCAGGCTCTCTTCTTCCTGCTTCAGACTTCTTCCTATTTATAACGGATCGCATGAACATAGGCTCTGGATTACTTTTCAAATGTCTTCACTTAAAAAGATGTGTGATAGTACACTAGATAAATGTTTAACACGGTATCCTGTTTAGGTTTCTTTTAAACAGGAAGTGTGATAACACATTGACACATTGAGAAAAAAATAAGTCGAGGCCTGATAACTACTGAAGGTTTTACGGGAAAATCCTAATTACTGGCCTCCCGAAAACAGAGATACATTAAAGAGTGTGAATATAATTTTCTCAACAATTAGTGTCTGCTTACTTTCGAGTTAGATTAGAGGAAGAAGTAGTAGGCTAGTTACGTCCCCAAACACATCTGTGATTGGACAAAATCTGTCTTCATATAAATCAATCAAAATCAAAACTCTCCTATTCAGATCTGCTTTTAATTTTTAATTCATTTTATGCATTTAGTTGTGTTATTTTTATAATTTATTTAAGATTGTTAATATCTATCTGTAAAGTGACTTTGAGTCCCTTTTCAAAGCACACTATAAATCAAATGTAATATTATTAAGTACATGACAGACAGCTTTCAAAACAATATGTATTTCTCCAAAAATACCATATTCAAAAGGATTGAGCTCTAACATTTTCAGGATGTTGTAAAAGTCATTAGTTCATAAATTGGCCGCTTTTGTAAGCAGTTAATGTTTGGGTCTAAATGCAAGTTACAGCTCTGTATGTGATGTTTTATTTCTTTGAATCAAACTCAAGGAAAATGGCTAAGATACAAACGCAACAGTACTGTGGATCTCTAAAACTTGAGCACAGTGATGACACCATGTTGTCAAAAAGTTGCTCCCCACCTACACATTCTGTGCCTCGTGTTGAATTAATTTAATTATGAAATGTTTTTGTGTCTGTCCGTCTCCCTGTTAGTCATCACATCACATCTGTGTGTGTTTCCGGACGTGGTTTCAGATTGACAATGACTAGTTGTAAAATTAGCTTACAAAGTTGATGACTTGTCCAATAGACCGCTGTGAGTTGTGAAAAGTCACATATTCCACAAGTATTTACAGTACTCACCTGCAAATATCCACAAAACCCACACAAACGATGTCTTTCCTATAATTTAAATATCTAGCATTTATTTTTAAGGTTATGTAAGGTCAATTCAAAGCATCAGTCCATTTCAAATATTAACATAACATTTTACTTATTTATCACTGTCCCGAAATTGACACCAGATGGACACACGATAAAGGAAATGTTCAAATTCGGCTCTGATCGTAACATCGGGCCATTCGTGAGGGCATCTTAAAGGGGACCTATCATGCAAAATGCACTTTTGTACGTCTTTTATACATGAATATGTGTCCCCGGTGTTCCAGGGAACTCACCAAGTGTCAGAAAACACAACCCTCTCTATTTTCCTCCATACCCAAATCTCTAAAAAAGGGGCTGCAACGGATCTGATACAGACTGATCCAGATTTGAACACTTCTATTACGTCACAGAAGTGGCGCTACGGCTATTGGGCCAACTCTCCACCTATCAGGGGAATGTGGGGTTGGGCCACGGCCGGCCATTGCCGCTCGAAAGCGCTGGAGACGCTGTAGTACATATGCCAGGCCTGTAAGTGGCGCTGTAGTCTGCCACAAAAGCCGCGAAGAAGACTTCCCGCCCATAGTTACCATGGTTACCCTTCTGTTTATTCTCCGCTGTGGCTTTTTTTCTCTTTTTTTCAAGCACTGTAATTCTCTCCGGTTAGTCCACCAGCAGATGACAAACACGCACCTCTCCGCCTCTTCCAAGGAACGAGGGGACCGTGCGGCAGAGTTTCAGTTTCAGTTTGTTTCGCCGGTCAAGATGTCCGTTAAAGTTTAAATCTTCCGGACAAAATTAGAAAAGTGCCGGTCAAAGGTCTTCTTTGTTATTTATTGAGCTTTAAAACAAATGAATAACGACTCTATATAATAAAACACGGAGGACGGAGATATTTTTTTCTCCCCCTCTTGACTTCATCAGAGCACGGCTCCCCTGTCCTGCAGGGGGGCGTGGTCAGCTGCAGCTCACAGAGATCAGCCCCGTAGACAGCAAACAGCACATAGAGCGAAATGAGGCATGGCTAAAATGCATGATCTGTTTGGTATTTTGAAAACAGAAACGTATAAATATACCTTATATAGGTATGGCCCTACAATATATCATTTAAATATAGCATGATAGGTCCACTTTAAGCCATTGTATGACCGCCAGTGGAGTTTCTCAGGCTCCGGCAGAAACTTTGTGAGCGGTGGCAAAATCTTTCCGAAAGACCTTGCGAAGGTTCATTTTCGTGTTGAATTTGTGTGTCCATTTTGCCCTTCGTAAGGCACTCGTGAGGGCATCTTGTCAAATCGTGTCATCTTCGTCTGATCATCGGTGCCATCGGGCATTTTTCGCCTCACGAAGACAATACGAAGGAAACAAGAAGCTGCCTGATTGTCTTAGGAAGGCAACACGACTACGTGAAGCCCTCGCAATGCCGTCGTGTAGCCATCGTATTATAGTACGATGACATCGAGATGGGACCACGGTGTGCAATGTTTCCTTGCAGATCGCTTCTCTGGTTGTTTTATTGCACAACAAAATCATGTCAACATATTATGTAAATAACCCAATTTGTGTTCTGTGAAACTGAAAAGGATATTACATTGTTTTTGTTACTTTCGTTGCAGTTGTGTCTTAAATGTAATTTAGGTTAACTTCCTGTTTTATTTAGATGCTTTTATTTAGAAGGCGAGTTTAAGCTGTTGACAGGAAGTTGTTGTTGCTATGGAAACAACATGACGGAAAAAACGTAATATCTTCTACATATAAAGACGGAGAAAGTAAAGAACAAAGTCTGAAAATATCAGTGACAATTTGTATTATACAATCTCAAGTCTCCAAAAATGTAAAGTCCCATAGTACTTTTACATAATTGTTTTTGTTACTTTCGTTGCAGTTGTATGTATGTCTTAAATGTAATGTAAATTTTGCCTTCGTGTGTGGTTCGGGCGCCATCGTGTGGCCTTCTGTAGGCATCGTACTTGCTTCGGCTGTTGCTTCGGCTGTTGCTTGGCCGTTGACCAAGTTCGGGTCATCTTCGTGCGAAATTCACAATTCCATATTCGTGTGTCCATCTGGTGTCAATTTCGGGACAGTGTGACGCCCGCATTACTGAGGGAGATTAAATCAAGCACACATGATTTTGTTTAGCCTACCTAGTTCGCTCTATACTCTCATTTGTAGCTACAAATAAATCCTTCAATGTCATTATATTAATGTGTATCTATTTTATCCAGGCGATCTTCATTGGCTACGGTCCAGGATTCAAAGAAAACACTGTTGTGCCCCCCTTTGAAAACATTGAGTTGTATAACCTCATGTGTGGTAAGTGTTCTTTATTTAACTCTCCTGTACTGCAGCTATACTGTAGCATTACTTTATTAGTTTTTCGTTTTTAAAAGAGTTATTTTATATTTTGGGACATAGGCTTATTGAATTTCTTGACTAAAGTTTGACAAACTTAACATTTTGAGATCATGTTGAAATTACCGTGAAAACATTCGGTATTTAATTCCATTCTTCTTTTTTAAGAGGTCTAAACAAGTATTATATTTAACCTGTTGAAAGTGCAGAACCCGGCTCCTGTAGCTTTCATTTCTCTTAGTTTACTTTTCTCAGCAGGTCCATTGTAGAAGATGCAGTAACACAGTATGACACAGCTCAGAGGAAACAGGTGCACTTCTCAACTGAATTTAGAGGAAGTAAATAATGAGCAGCTACATCAACCACATGTCAGGGGAAAAGGAACTTAAACAAACAGATAACGACCCCCACCTGGCTGTGATAGAGACACTTGTTTAAGACATGCATGACATTAGTATTGCAGTGGAAAATCTGCTCACTATTAAAGGAAGTATGGTACTCTGGGTCAAGAAGATCCATACACAACAAATCAACAGAATCTATCCAATAAAACATATTATTTACAGACAGTTTTCCCCTCTTTACTTCCAAGTTATGGTCGAAGCAATGTGATTTAAATATGGACTGTGACTTACTTATTTAAAAAAATCCGGGACATCATGTCCTGCTTAAAACTTCAGGTAGGAGAAAATCCCATTGAAACATGGGGCCATTTTAATGCATTCCAGACCCTGTGAAAGCTTTATTATTAGGTGCAGCTTAACTACATCACACACTGTTCACTCTTTCACTGCGAGGCACCAGCCTGTCAGGTAGAATTCAATATGTGTAACTTGCTGGGCAGGGATTTTTTAATTATTCGTATTAATATTTGTGTGGTTAATACGTTGCTATTGTATACTCATGCTCATCAGCACTGTAGATTTTTTTGTTTAAAAAATCGATGAAAGATTTGTATGTTAAAAAAACGCCTTATATGAAGATTACATTGACATTTGTCAAAAACTTTTTAGCTTAAATACAGTAGTTTAAAATCTGTATGACCAGGGATGTCACTGAATCCTTCTGTATGGTACCTCATTGTATAAGATGTGTTTTAACTGTCCGTAATGATGGCTGAATTAACTAAATAATAGTATTTTCTTATAGCATTACCTGTTGTGACCCTGCTGTGTTACATCCAGTCTGTGTGATACAGATTTACACTTTTTCTCTCTTCCTCCTCAGACCTCCTGGGTATTCGTCCCTCTCCGAACAACGGGACTCACGGCAGCCTGAACCACCTTCTGAAGCATCCCGCCCACCAGCTGGTCCACCCAGCGCAGCTCTCACACGACACCCCCTGTGAGACCTCTGACCCCGCCCCCACCGACCTGCAGTGCTCCTGCGCGTCCCAGGACAAGGCCGCGGTACGTGAGAACCATAGAGTTAATATATAAGGTGCTAACAAGTTCTTGAGGTCATGGTATTCTGTCTGTCGGTTAGTCCACCACTTTAGTCATGGTTGAAATAACAAAAAAAATATTGGGTGGATAACCAGGTAATATGTTGCAGACATTCATGTTAGCAGAGGATAAATGCCACTGACTTTGGTGATCCTATAAAGGTCCATCTTCTCCATCTTCTTCCTCATGCTTTTTCATACCAATGTATAATTTAAGGCTTGGGTATTGAAGAGAAGGAAAAGGAGGATATCAGATTGGTATCGGTATCAACTGATACTCATCATTTCGGTGTAGGATAGGATAGGAAATGAACAAGTGGTTTTGAACTATCCCTACAAATGAGCAAATGTTAGCACGTTGACGTGCTGAACTAAGATATTGAATATGGTTAACATGGCCTTCTTAACATCAGAATGTTAGAAATGTAATTCTGAGCATGTTAGCTGACGTTAGCATTTAGCTCAAAACCCAGAGTGCCGATACAGCCTACATGAATGTGGAATTGTTAACTTGGATATCATTTATTAAACACAAGCATACTAAAAATACTTTATTTCTAGGAGACGGACCTCAACAGAAATCTCATAGCAACTAATTCCAGTGAGTATCATTTAATTTTTCTTTGCATTTTAAATGTTCTTGAAGGAAAGCACGATGCGACTTGTATACATCTTGCCTTTTAGGTGTTAAAGCCATCTTACGCCACCTCCACCATCCCTTTGGCATCCCCAGTGTCGTCCAATCAGGCGCCAGCTTTTGTCTCCTCCACCAATCCAACTACCTCAGTGGATACAGCAGAGACCGCCTCATGCCCCTGTGGGTGTCGTACACCCTCGAGCCTCTGGTGAGTCGTCTTTTATCTATAAACATAGCCCGTGCAGTCGAGGGGACCCGGCTGTTTTTCTGCTGCGGTTAGGGCACGGCAGGAAATTGTAAGAGGTTGTTTAGTATCTCGAATCCCTTCTCGAAGCAGCTGTTACTCATCTTCTGTGCTCATGTTAGCTCAAACTCTTCTTGTCTTTCTCATTATGCGGTTGAGGTTAAGTGTAAATCATAACTTCAGGCAGAGTGATGCATTCCCGGGAGAGTTTACACTGTTGTACTATTCTGTCTGCATGATGGAGCGTGTGAGGGTTTGTTTTCATTCCGGCGTTATCCAAATACAGTGAAGGCTGAGTATGGTTGTACTCTATCCTCTGTTCATGTTGCCCTGGATAAAAATCATGGTTTAGTTATTTTGTCGATGTATTTGTTATAAAATACGCTATTATAATCAACCAAGAGAAAACTTCCAATTCCACAGCTTGTCAAAGTGAACAACTTCATATGAAGCTTAACATATTTAAACACGTTTCCTGTAAATGGCTATAAGAACTGGTATTTATATATAGGAAATAGGATTGTATTTCAAAGAAAAGAGCTGCATTTACATGTAAATATTCATGCATTAATCAACAAAGTCCGGAGATTCCACTGACACGGACTCTTATCCTCTCTACAGACACTGTGTTTCACATTAATGTACATCATGTGAGAAAAACTTGTTAATTTAAATGAATTTTAGTGAAACGTGCACATTCCTCTGTATATTTATTACATTTGTGTACAATGCTACCTCCTTTTAAAAAAAACTTTTCATCTCGAAACTTTAAATTCTGGTATACTGGACATATTTTAGTAATTTCTTTCAGAGTAAATTATTTTCATTGTACTTTCAATATTGATATTTCTTGTAAACATTTCCCCTTTTTTAATGTAATACAATAGGTCTATATTGCTCCTTTTTTTCAACTGAATTTTCCCTACTGTATGCAGCATTATACTCCAAAGCTAATTCCTTGAATCCCTCTGTCCTCTGAGTCTGATTTAGATATGTATGATTGCTTGCCCATTTTATCCATACTAGCAGTGTGGCTCAATCAATGGTTATATCTGACCGTCATCTGCTTACATAGATTATTATTTTAAGGGAGAGCTCTGCAGAAACGTTGCAATGCCCTCAGTGACTCTCTAATACAGACGGAGCAGAGTCACAGAGAACGATCTTACACAACACACACTCACACTGACCGCTCTTCTCTCAGACCACAGTCCGACCCCTGAGCCCAGAGTTCGAGGAGTGTGTTCGTGCTGACGTCCGCACCCCCCCGGCCGCCAGCCAGCTGTGTCTGCGCTACAGAAACGACCCAAGCCTGTCCTTCGGCCTGCTGCATCCCCCCAGTGAGTGTGTGTGAGTGTGTGAGTGTTTGTGTGTGTGGGTCATAACACGGCGTCCCCAGCCAGGTGTTGAATTCAAGTTGACGTGTTCCAGAGCCACATTCTCATGTAAAAATGCTCCCATGCTTTTGGTTTGCAACACTAAAGAGACCCCCATCCCCCTCTTTTTATTCAGACGCTGCAGATTCAGTGTATTTTAATGAAATTCAGGTTTCAGGTAGACCCACAAAAGAGAAGGACAGAGTGAAAGAGAGAAGTTAAATCTCCCCAACAGCTGTGCGAAAGCTGTACTCACTAAAATTAGACATTTTATTTTCCGGTCATAATTTGTCCTGCAGACTTAGATTTGTGCAGTTTCGTGATTTTACATCTGCAACAATTGTGCATTTATTTATTTGCATAATTTTAAGCATTTATTTGAACAGTTAAATAATAGTTTAAGCCTTTTTTTTTTTTAAAGCAAAGTTGCCAAAGGTTTGCTCCATGCAGCCTCTCTGTTGTAAATCTTTTTAGATTTTCTAAATGTTAAATGATTGTAAATTACATTTCTTTGTGGTTTGACAAACCAGACATTTGGTCAAATTAACTAGAATATTTTTTAATGTTTTGGGCATTTATGAGGCAAAATGATTAATAGATTACAAAAAGTTATGAAGGCAGAATGATTAATAATGAAAGCAGAAGTTGGTTGCTGCCATACATCTAGACTAAGACAATCTTAATTCCTTATTTTAACAGGACACACATCAGACTTTTACAACATGCAGTTAATGTTTTAAATCCAAATCCAATCTGCAAACACATACATTTGTCTCACTCATTTTCTCTCTATAGATCTGGGTGCCAACGGAGCAGAGACAGACTCTCTAATCACGAGCAACATGGCACCAATGTTCCCTGCATTCAAAGGTGAGTCAGTCTTCAAAATATGTATCAACTCGGTTTCCTAGCTGCACCTAAATGTGGAAATGGCATTCATGGTGATGCACAAGTTAATAATCTAATTTCAGAAATGTCAGATAGGGTTCATTTGCACACTGAGTGAGAGCTATTGAGCTGAGTGAGAGCTGAACTATTTCATTAACCCGTGAACTGAAGAGACACCGGATCACAACTAGTCATTATGTCATGCTCTGTTTTCTGTGTTAAACACTCCAGTTTTCAGAGAGCAGGTATTGTGGTTTGTCTGTTCTCGTAAGCCGTTTTTATAGCTCAATATTGTCTCTATATTTTTCTCCAAATAGGCTATACTTTTGGTTCTCAAATACACATATAATAAGAGCCCAACATCTAACTGCTGTGATTACACAGGATTACTGTACTTGCATTTAGTCAAGCTCTTTCTGTAAAGCACAATTAAAGGTTTGGTAAGATTTTCCAGAGTTAATCCTCCTGCCATCCTACTGCAGATCCACAGTTTATCTCACGATAAGATTCACTTTTAAGGTGGTCACCACATGACTACACAGGAAATCATTCCTTGTGTTGCAAATTATACAAGAAATAGTATGAGTGCGTGTCTTGATTAATAGGTTGTTGGCGTATTGCTCACAAAAGCGTAAGTAAGTCTGTGCCAGCCCTGACATTTCTACTGTACAAAACTACCTGTGAAATATGTGATATCCTGTTAGGGTACAGAAAGATTTTATGACGCAACACTGCTATGTGCTCAGAAGCACTGATGAGTTGAAACTTGTTACCTTTTTTTAGCTGATTAATACATATCAAATTGAGCGATTCAGACTTCGGCTCTGGGCTGTTTCCACTGGGCCACCCACACTATGATGGAAACTCTGGCTCAGTAGCATACCAATACCTTGGTATCTGGCTTGATGACTGTCTCACTTTTAAACGTCATGTCAATAACCTGCTTAAAAAACTGAGGGTTAGGCTAGGTTTCTTCTACAGGAACAAGTCCTGTTTCTCGCTCGAGGCCAGGAAAAGTCTCTGTGACCTTTTTACCTGTGCTGGACTATGGTGATTTGATTTATATGAATGCACCTGCCAATTGCCTGGTCAAGTTAGATGCTGCGTATCACAGTGCACTGAGATTTGTGACAAACTGTAAAGCATTAACTCATCACTGTACCCTGTATGCAAGGGCTGGTTTGCCTTCGCTAACTGTACGGAGGCTCAGTCACTGGTACATTTTTATATACAAAGCCATGTTAGGGAAACTTCCATCCTACATCTGCTCCCTGATCTCACGGCGAATTGTAAGTGGCTACTGCCTGAGATCGCATGCTGTGGTTTTATTAAATGTGCCAACTGCTAGGACTGTCTTAGGGAAGATAGCATTTAGATGCGCAGCTCCACTGTCTTGGAATAGTCTGCAATTGAAATGGAAACTGAGCAATCTGGTGCCACTAAATGTTTTTAAAGCTCTGTTGGATGCTACTCAATCGGAAGCTGTTGGTACCTGTTCATGTGGATAGTTATGTAAATTGTAATCCCTGTAATGATGCTGTATGATGTCCTTTTTGTTGTTCTGTTTATGTTTTAATGTTTCATGTGGAACCTACTTGAGCAGGTCTCCCTTGAAAAAGAGATCAATGATCTCAATGGGATACACCTGGATAAATAAAGGTTTGAAATGAGGTCCCATTGGAAGGAAAACCCCTTCTCTGTGCTTCAGTTTGTGCATGCTAGAGGCTTTCATACTAATCAGCTAGCAGATGCTGCCCCCTACTGGCACATTGCTGTACATGCTGTACACTGTCAAATGGTGAGTTTATTAACTTAAAATGGACCTTTCATGCTATATTTGAATAATATAGTGTAGGACCATACCTATATAAGGCATATTTATACATTTTTTTTTCAAAATACCAAACAGATCATGCATTTTAGCCATGCCTCATTTTGCTTGACATTTTTTAGCTCTGGATTTGCAAGGGCAGATTCAGTGAGAACAGCGCCATCTACTGGCCTGGCATATGTACTACAGCGTCTCCAGCGCTTTCGTACGGCAATGGCCGTGGCTGTCTCCTCCTGATTGGTGGAGTTGGCCCAATAGCCGTAGCGCCACTGTCCTGACGTCAGGACAGTGTTCAAATCTGGATCAGTTTTTATCAGATCCGTTGCAGTCCCTTTTTTAGAGATTTGGGTATGGAGGAAAATAGAGAGGGTTGTGTTTTCTGACACTTGGTGAGTTCCCTGGAACACCGGGGACACATATTCATGTATAAAAGACGTACAAAAGTGCAATTTGCATGATAGGTCCCCTTTAAACCTGAAACTAAAACAAAAAACTCCACACGCTATATCCTGTTTAACTATTTATATATAATAAACAAACAACATATTGTTGATTAGTTAACTTTAGAGGTTATGGTAGATTCATTATTCCTTCAAAGATTGTAATGATGTTATCACTTTCTTTTAAAATAATTTAAGTGTAAAAAGGTTTTGGTGTGTCTTCTCCCTTATTGCAGATGTTTGGACCCATGTCCATGATGTCCTGCTTCCAAAATATTCCAAAGAGCTGAACGGAGTCAACGTCATGAGCGGGCCGATATTTGATGAAGACTACGATGGAAACGTTGATGCACTCAAAGCCATCTCAGGGTAAGTCAGCAACGCACACTTTATTACGTTATGTTGTTATAATTATTGTGTGTGGGAGAGAAACCCCGCTTTGTAGGGAATTTGGGGATTTAAGCCTATTCAGACCATTTACATGCACTCAAACCTATAGAACACACTGCAAGAAAGGGAAGTCCCCCAAAAGCCTCATAGGTCCTCTAGGCGCATTTGCACTACAGCGCGGAGCTCGCTTTAAGCGTGCCGTGCTGTGCCCGGCCCGTTTTTGTTTGCGTTTCCACTTGGCGTAGTTCCGGCTAGCGGGTACTATTTCACAGTTTTTCTGGCCCCATAAAATCAAGGTTCTTTCCGGGCCAACAACCAGGCTGAGTCGGTAGTTGGCTAAACTAGTATGCTAAACTAGAGAGAGAATCGCTGGCAAGGGGGCTACAACTACAACAAAATGAACATATTTGACCGTGATTTAATTGTAATACACGTTTCTAAATGATGCCGAAGTAACAACAGACTGATACCGGTTAGTAAAAACCATGAATTAATGCTTTGACAAGTCTGCAGACAGACGGCAGGCGAAAAACCTTTTAAAATGCGTGTTTTCTGAATGGAGATCGGCTAAGCTAACGCAGTATATGCTCCGACCGTCCACACTCACAACGGCCTATACAGACATAAATAAAGCAGCGACTGTATTCGCCATGACACAGGCAGTCTGTGGTTTGTACTTGTTTAACTTTTGTCTAGTTTCTGAACATATATGAGGAGCTGTGAGCTCTGAGTGCTAACAGCTAACGGCTGATGTTGGTTTTTCTGTGGTTCTCATTGAAGATGACGTCACTGCTCCGCCTACACTGCGTTACTATAGTTACTGCCCCAGCTACTAAACTGTAATGGAAATGCAGCATAAAGTGAGCCGGTCCTAACAAGGCCTAACGAGGCCTAGCCATACCGAGCGAAGCCCTGTAGTGGAAATGCGCCATAAGTAACTATTTTGTATGAAAGGATTGAACATTACCAGCTTGTATAGTATGTAGTTCTTTTTCCTGCACAAATGATTGATTAAAAGAGGCTTTCGATAGAGTGGTGCATCAGTTTCTTGAACCCTGTGATCTTGTGTCTCTCCAGGAATGAGGCTCCCGTCCCGACACATTTCTTCGTGATCCTGACCAGCTGCAGGAACTCGACCTTCAGGCCCGTTGGCTGCAAGGGTCCTCTGAGGGTCAAGTCCTTCATCCTGCCCCACAGACCTGACCACACGGAGAGCTGCGCTGTGAGTAACACCGCTCACTCCTTTCTGCACCTCACTCAGTGGAAACAAACTGATCGAACGCCTTAAAGATCACCTATTGTGCAAAATTCACTTTTTCCTGTCTTTCATACATAAACATGTGTCTGCTCTGTGTAAAGAGATTCTGAACGTTTCAGGAAAAAATATTTGCTCTCTTTTTGTCCTGAAAAAAAAAAAAAAACCTGTCTGAAAATGAGCTGATCAGATTTTGGCCACTTTATGATGTCATAACGATGTTTTGGCTTGTGTAACCATTAGCCAATCACCAACCAAGGTAACCCCCCCCCACACCTTATCACCTGCATCTCCTCCTAGAGCACCATGTGGGTTTTTTTAACCAAATATCTCTCAGAGGGGCGTGGGGAGTGGCTCCTTATTCTCATCTAAAGTAACAGACAGAGAATCAGCACTTTTGAAACAGGGCTGAAACAGAGGGGATTATGGGATGCTGCAATGATCTGTTTGGTATTTGGAGCCAAACACTTCAGAGACATGTGTTATATATATCTGAGACCTATAATATATTGATGAATATGTATAATAGGAGACCTTTAATACATTTTCTTCGCTCCTCTTTTCCCTTTCCTTTCTGCTCCCCCCCTCAGAGCGGGTCAGACTTGTCGTGGGTGGAGGATTGGCTGCAGTTTCACACGGCGAGAGTCCGAGACATCGAGATGCTGGCCGGACTCAGCTTCTACCACGACAGGATATCAGTGGAGGAGACGCTTCAGCTGAAAACGTTGCTACAGACTGCTTAAAATCTGATACTTTATCAAAATTAAGATTGAATTTCCAAAGGAAGCCATATTGGTCTGCACAACAGGCCTCAGTCCACATGGACACACAGTTAACGGGTGCACTCGTTTTCTGTGTTAAAACCAAATTGATCTGACTTAAGCTCCATCCAGGTTTTTTTTCATATGTTTGATTTCAATGTAAACATTTCAGATAAATCCATGTGTGGAAAATGTGTATTTGTTTTTGATAATGTTTTTATAAAATGAACCAAAAAGCTCTGAACCAAAGACGTCGTCACATCTGCTGAGTGGCTCCAAAGTATTGCCTCGTATGGGAACAAAATAAAAGGGAAATGTTTATTGATGAAAGAAGAATTTATTTATAGAACACTTGCTTTTATTGGCAGAGGCTCTTCAGGAAACACACGACAATCTGGAAATTATTTATGTCTGCTTCCACACATCTGGAGAGCTGCCTGCAGACAGAAAACAACAAACATGAAAACTTAAGAAAGAAGTTTTACTGTTAAAAGAAAACTACATATTTTACCTGCCAGATGTTGCCATTGTTTGTTCATGCTTGTTATTTTTCTATTTTCTTCATACTTCATACATACATTGCTGTTTTTTGTGTGTGTGTGTGTGTGTGTGTGTGTGTGTGTGTGTGTGTGTGTGTGTGTGTGTGTGTGTGTGTGTGTGTGTGTGTGTGTGTGTGTGTGTGTGTGTGTATTGATGGATAATGAGACACATTTCCCCATTTTGTTTGTCTTTGTGGTTAATTTACATATTTTTTAAGCTATTTTTGCCTTTGTAGTAGTTTTCAAATCATCTTTGTGTAGCTATTTATGTTTTTCTGTTCATGTTGTGTCTTCATTGCAATGCTGTGTCTCTTTGATATAGTTTTGCATCTCTTCATTGCCTCTTTATTGTTGTTTTGCGTCTCTATACTTTGCATCTCCTGATCATTTGTACTTTCGAATCATTTCCGTTTTGGTAAACCATAACTGTCGGATGTGGCTGTTGGTTGAGAAACTTTAGCTGAACTCAGTATTTAGTTTACGCTGGACATGAGAAGCTTTCTGTGCCCTGTCGTCCCAGTCACTATTTTGATTTGTGTACACAAAAACAGAATGAGAAAACTTGAATTTACTGTGTGTGTGTGTGTGTGTGTGTGTGTGTGTGTGTGTGTGTGTGTGTGTGTGTGTGTGTGTGTGTGTGTGTGTGTGTGTGTGTGTGTGTGTGTGTGTGTGTGTGTGTGTGTGTGGCTGAAATAATTTCTTTGGATCAACACACTTAGTCTTAAATTTACTGTCTGGAAGTTAAAGTTTATTAAAAAAAGAAGGAAGGTTCAACAGATTTTTCCATCATCTATAGCAGCTTTTTTTTGTGACTACAGTCAAATACGCCGTTTCAAATAAAAACTCTTCTACACTGAATTTGTCACTTGTATCGTTTTTTCTTCACCCATGACACCTTGAGATCAGGGCTGCAGAGAAACACTTTCTGCACACATGCATCACATCCGAAACAAAAAGTGAGATAAAACCACCCAGCCGTTTCTCTATTGCCAGTCTCAAGATTGCAAAAGTCTGATCTCACAAAGGAAGGAAACAGAGCTCTGTATGTTTCCCTCTGTGTATACCAAATCTGCCACTTCCTCAGGCTGACCACTCTGCAGCGAGACTGAAGGTAAGATGTTGCAGCTTTTTGCTCTGCAACGCTGTGACCCAGTTGTCATTTCAAAAACCTGAGTGTGCTTTCCTTTTGAGGTTGTACTTGTCAAAGTGATATCAAGATTCGAATTAGCAAAAAAAGAGCTGGTGTTGAGTATCTGTTTTGTAATCAAAGCTAACAATTGAGTAATCATAAAAGCAGAAATGACTGAAATGAAGTGATTGTTGCTTTTAGTTGTATACATGTCTGTGACTGCTCTATAAGTGGAGGTCTCCTGTTCTCTGTGCAGTGACGCAGTGTCTTGTCTCCTGGCTGCATGCTGTGTATTGATTATGCCTTCTTGAGTCACATGTTGACAAAGCCATATGTACAAATCTGCATTATGTGCAACGCTTTCCTCTTGCCCTTAAGCCTGATTTACATGTTGGAGTGCTGCATACAGTACATGTCTGTCAGCACATCAGTGAAAAGGAAATACATTTTGGTAACAAGTGCTTTTCCTTTTACCTTGTAACTATGCTTATTTTTAGCAACCAGGCACTTTCGTGACTGTGAAGAACTGGAGAAAAAATATTGAAACCAGTACATGGTTTTGTAAATACTTGTATGTCGACACCATGCCGCTTAAGTAGGTGTGAGATATTTTTGAGATATTTTTCATTAGGGTTTGTGTGACTTCTTCACGTTTTGGACCCTCAGTCACTGTCAGAGCTCATGGCGTGTGAGCGTGACCATGACAGACGTTTTTATTTGGAATCGGTTTGTGGTGATGAGTTTTAGTGCAGAGCTGCCAGAGCTGACTCGAGGTATGCAGCCGCTCACACAGGTCTTCCTGGAAGCTGCGCTCTTGTGGGAAACTGATCTGAGACCTCGTGACCGGTTCAGTATTTCTCACGGCATTCAGACTCCGTATTAGGGTCCCAGTGTAACCAGTCAGGTGTCCCTTCCTATCAGAGCTGTGGGCTGATGTGGGTTCCCACGCTCTCTTCTCGGATGTGAATTCAGACCACCAAACCACAGCCTGAATCATTATGGTTCTTTGCATAGTAGAGGCGAGTTCTGAAATGACTTGCATAGACATGATGATCATCATACTAAAAGCCTCCTGTCAAACTGTCAAAGTGAGAGCACTTGTTTCTACAAATGAGGAATCAAAATATAGTGGGGCATGGAGAAATGTCTGTTGCATCACAAACTTCCTCCAGAAGCCACAACATGCATTTAAGTTATTTTTTAACAAATAAGACATAGCCTACTGTGGTATTTTATCACAGTTAAAGGTGTTTGTTGATCTTGTTACCTGAGGACAGAGCCAGGGGGTGTAATAGACTGTATAAAGGCTGTAACTAACAATCATTTTCATTATCGATTAATCTGCCAATCATTCTCAAGATGAATAATTGAATACTCACAAATCAGTGAGCATGGAGAAATGTCTGTTGCATCACAAACCCACATTTTCTTTTAAATGTAAGTTCTTGTACGAATTGAACAAATAAGACTTAACGTGTTATTTTGCTAGCTTTCAAAGTGTTTTTTGATCTTGTTACCTTAATCAATACATAGGCAAGCTAGCTGTATCCCTCTGCTTCCATTCTTTATGCTAAGCTAAGCTAAGGCTGCAACGAATAATACATTTCATTATCAATTCACCTGTCGATTAGATGAATCCATTAACATTAACAAATTACAAGCATGGAGAAATGTTTGCTGCATCACAACCTTTCTCTAGCAGCACATTTCCCATCTTGCCTCATTTCTATTTACAAGATGAGAGAATCCCTGTGGCCGGTGCACGTCAGCAGAGGACAGATAGCAGCTGTGTGTCTCTGTGAGACGTGAGGCCTGATTACAGCCTACGCTGATGTTTTCTACAGCTTCCTGGCAGCTCTGGACAGTAACAAGCACAGGCTCTTATCTCCCAACACAGGCTGGCATCAGGCTATTACTCTCTACTCACCATGCTTCACTTGTCTACTAGAGCAAAGTGGTTATGTGCCAGATTGAAATGTCTTTCAATTAGACCCTCTTATGAGATGAATAAGAGCTGAAATAAATAATTTGACATGTGGCCGTTTATTCATTATTTTGTTAAGAGCTAGAGAATTGATACCATTTAGTTTTTTGTATACAAATACAGCCATGAGCTTAGCTTAGCATAACGACTGAAAACAAAAACGGTCTCTCTTGGACTGGTGTGCTACTTACTAGCTTGCTTGCTAGTCTGGGACATAAACTAACCCCAAAACAACATTTATTTTTAAAACTTCAGTTTTTCTAAAGATTATACAACCACACGCTAACATTGTTTAGTGAGATTTAAAGGTGCTATCCGATTTGTCTACCTTCAGACAAAGCCTTTGTGTTTGCTTCCAATCTTTATGCTAAGCTAAGCTAACAAGCTCTTCAACAGTTGAACATTTCCATTATAGATTTATCTGTCTGTCAATAGTGAAATATGTCCAGCCAAGAGGATGTCTTTTAATGTGATGTTTTGTCAGTCCAATACCCAAAGACTTAATATGATGAAAGCAGAGACATAGCACTAGATGGACTAGTGGATAAACTGATTAATAATAGCATCAAAGCTATCATTTGACCAATCCAACAATGTTAAGAAAGCACATGAGCCTATTTCCCAAAGTATCAAACTCTAAAATAAAGCATTTAAGTCTGAATTGACATTATACAAACAACTACCTCTAATATTTATTAACAACATGTCAAGCTTCAGGTCATGATTTATTGAAGTAAGATTGAAATAAGTCTACTGGTCTGCAAAAAAAAAAAAATCTAGTACACAGACGCACGTCAATCATCAATAATGCAAAGGTTGGCATTTGGTTTGTTTTGCAGCTCTGACATCAGTGAAGCCTCACTGCTCTTCCTGCACTTGAGGAAGCTTTTGGTTTGCCAGGAGACGGCTTTAATAGATACAAGATAGTATACTGACCTAATTATCATTGAGTTGGTGGTAATTGATTGATACTGTATAGCTTTGTAACTCAGTTCCAGTGCAAAGAAAAAGCAAGTAGACGGCATTGACCACAGACCAGAAGTAAATTCATGGAGGTGAAAATATGTATAGTGAAATGAAATGAAATGTACTGATCATGTGCAGTGGGGTGATGCTTTGTAATGCTGATAGGAAGGGAAGATGAAGACATGAGCTGTCTAAAACAATGTAGGATTTTGCTCAGATGTAATGTAGTCTGTTATTACATCAGATCCTGTGTGGTAGATGTTACCCTAGATTACTAACCCTCTGCGTCATCAGGTCGCAGACTTGTACCCAGTCACTTTTCATGAGACATTTTTTATTAAAATAGGGTTTTCCACAGTTAAATCATCCAAGTGGAAACAAACCCTCTGCTCAGGAGGTACAGATATATCTGGCTCTGACGTGGACGGGGACACTGTGGAGATGACAATCAGGAGAAGGGGCTTCTTACCGGAATGTACTAGAATAACCTTTACTCTCTCACTTTTACTCTTTCAGCTGTGGGGACTGAAGAGGAGGTCTGCGTTCAGTAAAGAGGGAGGGTTCAAGAGACGAAGAGAAGGAGGAGGAGGAGGAGACAGGAACAAAAAGAAGCCAGTGAAGCAGAGAGAGACAGAGAGAAGGGAGTAGTGATACAGATGATCACAGACTGCTGCTGTTTAAAGATGGATTTAACTTTTCTTCAAACTCTGGAGAGAGAAAGAGTCCTGGAGGTTCTTCGGAGAGACCAACAGCTGCGTACTATTGAAGAGGACAGGATAAGGTGAGTCATTTTGACTACTTTCATAATTACTACTGCATGGGAAATACTTCTTAATGATGCTGAAGGAGGCTGTACTATCATCTCTCATTAATCATTATGAGACCAGCAACAAACAGTCATAATGGAAATACGATTTTGTGGGTTTGTTGTGACAAGAAGCTTATAAAGAATTGATGTTTGTCATTCACATTTATGTTTACTGACAGAAGATAATTCTTCTTTGTCTAACAGCTTAAATACATACTGTATCTTCAAAATGAACAGTTGTATATAAATTACTCAATTGAATTCATTAATTATTGCAGGAAACGTTTTTCATATTAATCCATAGAGAACAAAGAATACAATTAAAATAAAGTCTTGATGAATTTATTTTAATAAGGGCCCAATTTAAAACAGCAAAACTACATCAACACATCAGTTTACAAACTAACCCTTACCCTGTCACCCAACCCATGAATTATATCCAGTCTTATGTTAAATACCTCCTAAACACATGTTATGATTTTTAATCCTTATTATTTAAGATAAACAGTTGTTAGCTGGTGAAAAATCATGTTAACCCCTTTTGTTGACTATCTTTCCTTTAACAATTCAAGGTAACACCAGTTGAGTATAAGTGATATGTAAATGGTCATTTTGTGGGTGGAGTATTCATTTAAAGTTTGTGTTTTCCTCCATCTTCATCTCAGGAGGATGAAACATGACCTCCAGGAGCTTCGGAGGAGAGGTGCGAAGAGTTTCTCCCGGCAGTACGGTGAGCGGACCTGCGCTCGCTGCCAGAGGCCTCTGGGAAAACTGTGGAACTCCGGAGCGGTGTGCCGCGGCTGCAGCCACCGCATCTGCAGCCGGTGCCGCGTGGGAACGGAGGACTGGAAGTGCACGGTCTGCCACGCCTACAGGTGCAGTACACATGCTTACTACAACTCTTAAAGCGGACCTATCATGCAAAATGCACTTTTTTATGTCTTTTCAATGTGTCCCCGGTGTGTCGGGGA